CCAGGCTTGCGTGCAGGATCCTGCAAAGCTTGCCTGGCCCTGGTGTGGATACAGCCCAGGTCAGGAGATCCCCGATCAGTTCTCGCTTCCCCCACGGGGCTCGCCCCCGATGGGCTCTCTGCTGGGGAAAGGGCCTATTGGTCGGTGCCCCTGGCCAGGCCCGTGCCCCCCCCCTTCGGCGGCGCGCACAAGAGGGTGGGGGGAGGGCGAAGGCTTCTTAGAAAGAGGCTGCTTCTTAGAAGGCGCCGGCCCTACATCTGTAGACAAGAGGCCCGCGCCTTCTAAGAGGCAGGGGTGTTTCTTAGAAGCCTTCCCCCCCTCCCCCTACCCCCCTCCGCGCGTGGCCGACCAGGGCTGGAGGAGGAGGAAGAGGAGGAGGAGGACGAGGACGAGGACGAGGACGAGGAGGAGGAGGAGGAGGAGGAGGAGGAGGGGCAGAGAGGAAGAGGAGGAGGAGGAGGTGGCGGAAGCCTCCCCCCCTCCTCCTAACCCCCTTCTGCGCGTGGCCGACCCCTCTCCCCCCCGCGAGCAGCCGGGTGGCGGCGCGGAGCTGCGCGGGGGTCGCGGGCCGCGCCTGCCCGGCGGGAGGGCGGGCGGCACGCGCACGGGGGAGGCCCATGGCCGGAGCGGCCCACTCTCAGGGGCAGCGATAGATCGGGGGTTGCTAGACCTCCTACCCTGACACGTCGATTAAGGAATTGGCCGTTTTCGGTCTGCAAGAGGGCGTCGCGGCCGTCATTTTTGCGGGTCCAGCTCCGTCGGTTTCGGTCCCAGGCCGTTTTCACTAAGGGGAGGTTTGCTAAAGGGAGGTTTGTCCACCGCCGAATAGAGGGGGGGGGCTCGAGGGAGAAAGATAAACTTCCGACGGGGAAACACGGCCGAAGCATAAACTTTCGACGCTCCGCGCGAACTTCTTGGATCCGCGCTGCGCCGCCCCTGGCGGCGCCTCTGGCGCCGCCCCTGGTGCGCTCTGCGCGCCCTGGAGGGGGGTCCGGCGCAGATCCAAGAGATCCGCGCGGAGAGCCGAAAGTTTCTGTTTCTGCCGTTCTTTCTTCTTCTGTGGAAGACGAAGAAGAAGAAGAAGAAGAAAAATTGCATGCACTGAATTTCTCTGCGGTCCGCGCGGAGTTCTTGGGTCGGCACCCGGGACCCCCTGGCGGCGCCTCCAGCGCCGCCACTGGCGCGCTCCGCGCGCCAGGGAAGGGGGTCCAGGACCTCCGAGCAAATATGTTTGTGCAGTGGTTGCACTCAGGGCTTTTTCATTCGCCTCGACGGAGCGGGGCCCGGTCGTCGGTCCGGCTGGCCTGTGGCCGCCCGTCGCCGACGCCGCCGCCGCCGGTCCTTGCGTTGGTTTGCTTCGCTTTGCTTTGCACTGGCTGGTATTCTGATCGAATTCATTTGCACTCCTCGGCGCTCCTCTGCACTCCTCTGCACTGTGTTGCATTGCTTCACAGTGCTTTGCTTTGCTTTGCACTGCTTTGCACCACATAGGCTGCACCATCTCGAATGTACCACATAGACTGCACCGCATGGAATGCACCAAGTAGATTGCACCACATTGTTTGCACCACCCAGCCTGCACCGCATAGACTGCAAGAGCACATTGTTTGGGGCCCTCGCTGGCTAACAGTTGTTTCCCTAAGGCAGGGCTGGACCTAAACGCCGTTGTGCTGGACTTCGGCTGTGCGTTCGTTTTCCGTGTCGGCCGGGAGGTACCGGAGAGCAGGCAGAGCAGAACGAAAAGCAAAACGGAAGCAAAAACGAAAAGAAACAGCGTTCAGGCCCAGCCCCCTGCCCTAGGGAGGAGGAGGGGGAGGGGGAGGAGGAGGAGGAGGAGGGAGGAGGGGGAGGAGGAGGAGGAGGAGGGGCAGATCTCACGGTCATGGCCCTTAGACAGATGCCTCAGCGCACGTGCCTCGGCCCGTGGCCCTCCCCTCTCTGGACGCCCCCGGTCCTCGGGGACGACGGGAAGGGGCGGGGTCCACGTGCGCGTGCCGCTGCGGCGTGCCGGCCCGCGTCGCCACCCGGGGCCCGTGCTGCGATGCTGCGGTCCCTGGAGGCCCACGAGCGGTGGAGCGGGCAGTCCCGTGGTTCGTCCCCGTCGTCGTCGTCCCCGCTCGGCGCTGCGTCCGCGTCCTCCCCCACCGTTTTTCCCCCTTCCCCTCCCCCTCGTCGTCCTCCCTGCCGTCTTCTGCTCCCTGCCTCCTCCCCCCCCCCCCGGGTCCTCCTCGCGTTCCGCCTCCCCCTCGGCGTACTTATCCTCCCCCCGTCATTATTGCTTCTCGTCCTCGCCGTCCGTCCTTCGCCTCCAGCCATCACCGTTATTTTCATTTCCGTTTCCACCCATCATCCTCGTCGACCTCATCCTACTTCTCCCCCTCTCCTGATTATCCCCCTTGCCCCTGTCCTTCCCCAACCCTCGCCCTCGTCTTCGTCCCCCTCTTGCTCGCCCTCCGCGACCTCGCAGTCATCGTCCTTCTCTTCCCCCTCGCCCCCGTCGCTGTCCTCGTCATATACTGTTTCGTCCTCGTCCTCCCTGTACTAGTTTTCATCCCTCCCATGTTTTTTCTCGCCCTCGCCCTCGCCCCTCTCCGTCGTCGCCCTCATCCGTCTCACACCTGGTCCTCATCACTATACGCACCTCCTCCCATGCCCCTCCGCCGGCCCCGTCTCCCCATCCTCGGCGGCTTCCTCCTCCCCCTCCTCCCTCCTCCTCCTCCTCCTCCTCCTCCTCCTCCTCCTCCTCTCCTCCTCCTCCTCCTCCTCCTCCTCCTCCTCCTCCTCCTCCTCCTCCTCCTCCTCCTCCTCCTCCGTCTTCGTCCTCCTAATCCTCCTCCTCCTCCTCCTTCTCCTGCTCGTCCTCATCCTCCTCCTTCTCCTCCTGTCAGCCATCGCGGCTGGGGGGAACATCCTTCTCCTCCTATGATTGACGCTTCGCGTATCCTCACCAGCTCCGGCTATTCTCGCCTCCCGTTGTTCTCTTGGTCTCCCTTTTTGTTTCTTTCTCTCTCTCTCTCTCTCTCGTGTGTGCAATGTAGGTTATTGCTTGTTAGTTGTAGCTTTGGACGGCGCACGGCCCTTCCGTTTGCGCTCGCGAGCAAAAAAGTATCCTCACCAGCCCACCCAGACACGATGCTTAGCGGAACTGCCTGAACGAGGGAGCGTGGCATCATGAGGAGATTTCGGGGTGTTCTGTGGGCCAGATGCCCCTTAGATGCGTCCTTGGCCTCCTGCTCCTCCTCCTCCTCCTCCTCATCCTCATCCTCATCCTCATCCTCATCCTCATCCTCTTCCTCCTCCTGTTTCCCTTCCTCCTTATCCTCACCCTCCGCCTCCACCTCCTCCTCACCCTCCGTTTTCGCATCCCCATCCGACGTCGTTGTCGTCGTCCTCCTCATAATCGTCCTCTTGAGGTGGAGTGGCAAATCGCGGTGGACGGGCCAGCCTTGGGGCGTTCCGCGGTCGGACAACGACCAGGACGGAACCCACCAAACTCGGTGCTGTTCTTCTGACCCCCAGTTTCCAGCCCCGCCACCTTCCTCCCCCCATCATCCCCCATTCCGTTATTTCCCCTTTGAGACCGAAGTCGAGCACAGTGGAACACGCAGCATGAGCATGGTGCAGTGCCCACATACGAGCTAATCAGCAGAAACTGCCCACTGCACAACCGACTACTACTGTACAGAGGCACCGTCATATCCACACTGATGTACGGTGCAGAAGCGTGGACGTGGACAGAGCTTCGGGAAGAGCAGCTGGGCAGAATGAGAACCGGAACACCAAGGAGACGCACGGCCGCATCGCCATCACCGCGCCGCCACCGAGAGATGAATCAGAACAACGACGACGACACCGACAGCACTTTTTTCTACGACTCCAAAAACCCGACGTATGTATCGACACACTTCCTGACCAGCCCGATTTGCAGTTCGACGTCAGTGACCTGCAAGATGACGGCCTCCAGTTGGTGGCTGGTGCAAGCCGCAGAAGCATGCGGAGGGCCGAAGCACTGACTCTTGAATCTTACAAATTTTGCACCAGGGAGGGCATAGTGAATGATGAGAACTCGTCGAATCGGAGACCCCGCGCTGGTGCTGACCCCGGAGCCGCGCGACGCGTGGGAGGCTGTCCGCCTGGCCCGTGCCAGGAGGGCGCGCTGCGACGCGGCCGTGAAGGCCGTAGAGGAGGCCGCTGCACGGTCAGCCGCAGCCCGGGCGGACCTGTGCAGCGCGGACTTCGGGGCCTCGCGGGCCGCGGCCGCCCTGCAGGCGGGGTAACCACAAGATCTCGAGTCGCGGCAGCAGCAACGTGCGGGCAACAGTGCCTTCATTGATGGCGACGCGCTCGAGATCCCGTGCGAGGATCTGGTTGACGGACCACCGGAAGATCGGAAGCATGCAGGGCTTCGGAAAGGACTATTCGACGACCTGAGGCCGCAGCTGGAGACAACTCCTCGCCAGGACTTTGCCAGATGCACAACATCGCCCAGCAGGCCCGCGCACTCACGGAGGCAGGGCCCGCCGAGAGGAGGCGCGCAGACGAAGCAGGCGCCGCGGCACCAGCAGTGGTCGAGCCTGCGACAGCTGCCGCGCCTGCTGCGCCAGCGGCCGATCAGGCCGTCCCGGACGCCGACAAGTTGAGAGCCCCTCCACGGGCCCACCCCCGCGGAGGCCGCTCGAACGCGCCGCCCGAGCAGAACGGCCACCATCTTCTGTCTTGGGAGGTGTGCTCGGGGCGCTTTTTGGCCCCTGCTCTTCCTCCTCCTCCTCCTCCTCCTCCTCCTCCTCCTCGACCTCCTCGTCCTCCTCGACCTCCTTGACCTCCTCCTCCTCCTGGGCAGTCGAGAGCCCACCCGAGGCAGCAGCCCACCACGAGAAGCAGGCATCGGCCTCCAAGGCAGCGGCAGCCACAGCGCCTCCTCGCCATCCTCGCCGTCCTCCATCCTCCATCCTCGCCATCCTCGCCATCCTCGCCATCCTCCATCCTCGCCATCCTCGCCATCCTCGCCATCCTCGCCATCCTCCATCCACCCGTCCTCGCCATCCTCCATCCGTCCTCGCCGGGAGGGCCTTCGTCGCCTCGGTACGACCGGAAGCGAGAAGTTGTTTGGACTAAAGATCAGAAGGGGGGTCGAGGGGTTCCACATGCGGTTCTTTATCATATCTGCGCCGTCTTGCAGGACCGCTCGAGCGAGAAGCCTGCCATCCTCGCGATCCATCCTCCATCCATCTTGCGTCCATCTTGCGTCCATCCATCCTCGCCACTTGGGCGGCTTCCATCCTGAGACGTCCGACGTCTTAATTGTTTCAATACGTTGCCCCCTGAGGTCCCGACCCTTTACCCATACAGTCAACCCGCACAGTAAGGATGGGCAACCTTCCCAAGGGTGCCCTTGCATCCTTGCCTCCTCGGTCCATCCTTCGCCACTTTCGCTGGTCGCGCCCCGCTCGAAAAGCTTCGAAATGGGCGCCCAAGGCCCTTGCATCCTTATCGCGCATCCTTACTGTACGGCTTGACTGTAACCGGTTTTGCGCCCTGGGTCGTTTTTGACGACCCCGGGACCCAGCGAGGGCCGCAGGAGGCCCAGAAACGACGAACAGCAATCCATCTCGATGTTTGTCGGCACGTCGGATACAATAGGAGCCGCCCATGCCAAGAAGCGCCGTACGTTTTGCTAGTTCGGGTGCCTTAGGTTGTTAGGTTTGCGTTCGATTGAAGGCTTGCAGCGGTCGTGAAAAACTCGCAGCAGGGCATCCTGAGCTCCGTGGGCGCTGATGAGTTTTGGAGCGCGCGCCCGAAAGTTCAAGAAACCAACGGGCATGGGGCACCCTGAGTTTCTTCGCTGACAGCCGCTACGCAAGAAACCTAATCCTGGCCCAAGAAACTTCTGCGATGTTTATGGTAGGGTTTCTTGTGGACTGGTATTGGCCACGTTGGTGCCCTCGCCATCCCCCAGGACCACTTGAACGAGTTCCTGGCCACCAGCTTGGCCTTCCGAGGCCAGGCCGAGGTCCCCGGCGAGGCCCCGGCGCCAGGGCGCTGCGATCCGTCGCGGCCGTGGTTGGCGCCGTTCGCGGCGACGCTGGACGCCGACGCCGCCGTGGGCGTCTAGGGGGGGCGGGGGCCATCCCTCCTGCACCTGCTGTCGGGGAACACTCACTGACAGAAGAATCAACTTTCGGAGGTGCGCGCGGATTCTTCGGATCGGCGCCGAGGAGGAGGAGGAGCAGGAGGAGGAGGAGGAGGAGGAGGGGGAGGGGGAGGAGGAGGAGGAGGAGGAGGAGGAGGAGGAGGAGGGAGGAGGAGGAGGAGGAGGAGGAGGAGCTCCCTGGCGCGCGAAGCGCGCCAGGCCCTCCCAGCGCCGATCCGCGAGATCCGCGCGGAGCTCTGAAAGTTCATGTTTGTGTCACTGCTTGTTCCCCTATCCTCCGTCCTGGTTTCCCCCGAGCCCCGCAGACAGCCTGAAGCCTCATACAACCTCCTCCTCGTCGATCTCTCTCTCTCTCTCTCCCTCTCTCCCTCCATCATTGTCCCCACTGTTCTGCTCCCGCTCCTCCTCCTCCTCCTCGGGCCTCAAGCTACGTCTACACTCCTGTTCCTGAATCCCTCCCCCTTGAAAATTATCCTAGCGAACGACCCAACCATACGCAGTTGTGAATACCGCAATTATGAATGTCTTCTTCGGTGGGTCTCTCTATAGGGTCACGAAGCGCGTGACTGGGTGGGGGTGAACGCATGCGGGCGATAGCACTGGGGCCGTCGGTGGAGCTCCCTATTGGGCCACGAAGCGCAGCACTGGGTGGTGGGGGGGAACGCATGCGGGCGGTAGCACTGGCGCCGGGTGGACTTCCATATGGGGCCACGAAACGTTGTACTGGGTGTGGCGGACACCTGCGGGCACCCACACTTGGGCCTTCGGTGGAGCTCCCTATGGGGCCACGAAGCGCTGCACTGGGTGGGGGGAAACGCATGCGGGCTGCGCTACTGGGGCCTTCGGTGGAGCTCCCTATGGGTGCCACGAAACGCTGCACTGGGTGCGGCGGACGCATGCGGGCACCCCCACTGGGGCCTCCGGTGGAGCTCCCTATGGGGCCACGAAGCGCTGCACTGGGTGGGGGGGAACGCATGCGGGCGGTAGCATTGGGGCCTCCGGTGGAGCTCCCTATGGGGCCACGAAACGCTGTACTGGGTGGGGGTGACGCATGCGGGCACCCCCACTGGGGCTTCCCGTGGAGCTCCCTACGGGGGCCACGGAACGCTACACTAGGTGCGGGGGACGCATGCGGACACCCCCACTGGGGCCTTCGGTGGAGCTCCCTATGGGCCCACGAAACGTGTGAGGGGTGTGCCAAAGAGAGGGGGGTGATGGGAGGGGGAGGAGGAGGAGGAGGAGGAGGAGGAGGAGGAGGAGGAGGAGGAGGAGGAGGAGGAGGAGGAGGAGGAGGAGGAGGAGGAGGAGGAGGAGGATGGGGAGGAGGAGGAGGAGGAGGAGGATGGGGAGGAGGAGGAGAGAGGAGAAGAGAGGAGGAACGCGGGGACCGTGTCTTAAAAACGAGGACCCAATACCACACTTCCTCACTACGTGCGATTTTGATGCTTGGAATGTGCAACATGTTCACGAATCCAGGCCGGGCCGTTTTCAAAATGTGGTTATCGATATAGCGTTGCGCATGTTCGTTGCAAGAGTTTGCAACAGCTTTACGGATGGAGGTCGGTTTCTTTTCAATATGTGGTTCTCGCATCAGCGCGGTGCACATTCGTCTTTAAAGTTTGCGACGGTTTCGATGGAGAGCGGTTCTTTTTCAACATGTGGTTCACGTTTTCGTGCCGTGCCAATTCAGTTTGAATGTTTGCAAAAGTTTCGACGGAGCCTGATGATTGAAGTCCCAGGGACGGCGTTTCCGGCCAATTTAGGTTTGTCAGGAAGCAAAAGTCATTTTAATATTCGCGATATTGAAGTCCCAGGAATTGGGTTCGGACACCGCTTAGGCTTGTCAGAACGCAGCAGTCGCATTGATCCGTGGCGCTGAAGTTCCAGGAATTGTGTGTTGGCACGATTGACTTCTCAGACGGTTGTCTTCCAATAGGACACTTCCCGCGCCCCACAGTAAATTCTGTAAGGGGCGTAGGACGAGGAGGTCCGGAGGAAGGGTTTCTTGCATCATCGCTGATGCGTCGTGGGTTTGTATTGATCCTCCTCTCGCCTCCGCCTCCTGCTCCCCGTCCTCGCCCGCCCCCTCGATCTACTCGCACATCTCTCGCGTCCTCTCGTCCCCCTTCTCTTCTCCTCTCGTTCGCGCCGGGGGGGCGAGGGAAGAAGCGCACGATGTCCAGGGCCACGCTGCCGCGAGAGATCTTGTCGACGCCGACCTTGCTCCTGCTCCACGTTGGCCGTCACCTTCTTGCGAGGATGATCCACGGATTGACGTTGACCAAGGTTCTAGGCGTCCTAGATGCGGTCGATGTAGATGGGGTCGGAGGATCGCGCCGCATCGCCGATGCACCGTCGACGCGGCTTGATGTGGAGCCCGATTTTCTCCACGCCGACATCGCCGATGCATCACCCACGTCGACGATGCATCGCCAGTGCATCGCTGATGCATCGCCGGTACATCGCGGATGTATCGGCGATGCGGCGCGATCTTCCGACCCCATCTACTCCGATCCCATCTAGGAGGCGTCCAAAGTTTCCGAGGTCAGTCTTGGTCACAGTCCTCGGTTTCTTTTCCCTTCAGGGAGGGGGGGAGGGGCATCCTTCGACTTCCCCCTCCTCTTGCCCAGGGGCATTTTTTACCCATGGCCGCTCGTCGGGCCCCTGGGCCGTCAAGAGCGGATCCGGGGCGGCGCAAAGCTACAGTCAACCCGCATAGTAAGGATGGGCAACATTCCCAAGGGTGCCCTTGCATCCTTGCCTCCTGGGTCCAGCCTTGGCCACTTTCGTTGGCCGCACCCCGCTCGAAAAGCTTCGAAATGGGCGTCCAAGGCCCTAGCATCCTTATCGCGCATCCTTCCTATTCGGGTTGAGTGTACCTTGCGGGGGGGATCCCCCGTCCCCTCGCCACCAGCGCAGGGTTTTCGAGAGGAGGCGGGCCCTGGACGTGGCTTCAACAGGACAGCTCGGGACGAGACGCAAGGGCCCGAGACGCTGCAGCCGCCGGAGCCTCGCGGTCTCCTCGAGCCGACTTGCAATCGCCGGAGATGCGATGCCGCTCCCTCCTGCCAGGCATGCTTACGTTAAGGCGATCGCAAACACGGATCAAAGGGGGCGTGGATCAGCGACGGGTCCCGTTTCCATCGGAAACCGCGGACTCCCGCCGCCGAAAGGGGCGGCCCCGGCCGCATTTTGGGGAGGGCATTTCCCCCGGTCCATGGATTTGACGACCGCGCGCCAAGTCCACGGATCGCTGATCCATGTTTGCTTAAGTCGGGCCTGTCCCTTCCACAGGAGGAACATTCCAAAATGGTCAAGAAATAGTCCGGGGACGATGTTCTGGCTATTGTTGACCATTTGGGAGCATTTTGGGGGTATGTTTTATGTTTCGTCGACAAAACCCTGTAGGGGTCAGGAGGGGAAAAAACACACAGACACGATTAATCGTCGATCCCCAGGAAAATATGGGAAAATATGGGAAGTGGGGGGGAAGACAGAAACCCAGAAAATATGCGAAAATATGGGGAATATTTTTATTTGTGTGTATTTATTTGTGTGTCCTCGGGCCCCTTCAAGGGGGACATGCCCGACCTGGATGTTCGCGCGCCCCCGACACGTAGGATGAGGACGGGTCGATCTGGAGCGCCGCGGAGCGGCCGCGGAGCGCTGCGGGATGCCGCGGCGCTCCTTGGGACGGCCGCGGCCTGCTTTGGACTGCGTCCCCCAGACCCGCTGGCTCTCAGAGATCCAGCATCGTTCCACCGACCCTCCTCCTCCTCCTTCTCCTCCTCCTCCTCCTCCTCCCTCCTCCTCCTCCTCCTCCCCTCCTTCTCCTTCTCCTCCTCCTCCTCCTCTCCTCCTCCTCCTCCTCCACCTCCTCCTCCTCCGCCCCAGATGCCCCTCAGATGCGTCCTTGGCCTCCTCCTCCTCCTCCTCCCCCTCCTCCCCTCCCCTCCCCCCTCCTCCCCTCTCCCTCCTCCTCCTCCCCCTCCTCCTCAAGACGAAGGCAGATTGGCACCGACCCCCATCTCCATCCCCATCCCCTTCGAGACCCCCACCAAGTTACCACCCCAGTTGGGGGAATCCCCCTCGAAACCCGAAGGGAACGGCCTATATATCCCCATCCAGGGGGGCAAGTCGGCCAGGGGGGCCCAGGCCACGCCGCTGGGGATGGGGATCGCTTCAACGATTCTCAGAGATTCCTCCTTTCATCCCCATCCGCACATTCGCGCCACTCGGGGCTTGAGTGCCCAAGAACGCGCGGCTTCGTTTATCTGGTGCCAATTGCCGATCTCTCGACGATGTGTCGCTGATTCCAGGTCATTGTCCCCAGAAATCCTCCGATATGATGTTTCCAATCTGCGGCCCCAGAGCTCCCACTTCCTCGGGGGCAGCTTTGCTTCCGAACCACGTTTGAAGGCCCTGGAGCCCGATTACGGGCCCCAGAGGCCGAAGTGAAGGAGAAGCGCCGCGATTGAAACAAATCAGATCGTCAGAGGTCTGGGGGGGACTGGTTCCTCCACCTCGGGGCTCTGTGGGGAGGAGCGAGGAGGCGGTGGGGGGAGGAGAGACGAGTAGGAACGTGGGAGGAGGAGGATGATGAGGAGGAGGAGGAGGAGGAGGAGGAGGGGTGGACCATGGAGTCCCCCCTTGGGTTGTCTCCTCCTCCTCTTCCTCCTCCTCCTCCTCCTCCTCCTCCTCCTCCTCCTCCTCCCTCGCAGCCGACGTGGGGTGGAGGGTGGAGGCCTGGTCCCGGCGGCGGGCGCGCCGCTCGGGTCGTTCTGCACGCTGCCCATGGCTTTCAACTTCTGCGCCACAGCGCCCTGCCTCAGGCGGCCCCCCTGTGCCGGTCGGGGGCGGCAAAGAGGGGGGTGATGACTAGAGGGGCGTGGATATCATGGCGGGGGCCGTGATATTTCCCCAGATTTCATGGCGCCTTTTCTTATTTCATTACGTCCCTGGCCCCCCCGCTGGGCCGCGCACATGCCGCCGGTCATGATTTGCACCCCCCCTTATGGACACCCCCCTCTTGGGCCGCTCCCCAGCCGGGGAGGAGAGGGGAAAGGGAACGGGGAGGGAGAGGGAGAAGGCGGGAGGGAGTAGGAAGAGGAGCAGTTGGAGCAGGAGGGCGAGGAAAAGGCAGACGCAGCGAGCACCCGATCAGTGTCTGCGCAGCATAGAAAGGAGGAGGTGGACGGGCGAAGGAGGAGGAGGGGAAGGAGCACGGCCCCGCCTTCTCTCCTGTACAACATGGGGGCCATCACGACTCAGGTACATTCGCTTACCATTCACTTGCTGCGTTCATGGCTCCTTCCTCTGATCCTTGGAGGATAGAGGTGCTCGAGCCAAGTGGGAGGGCGGGTGCCTCAGCAAGAGCCCATGCCCAACATGCAAATGTAAGAAGAGCAAGGACCACTGCTGGCCCTGTGTTCCGCAGGGGGGCCCTTCTTTCTGGGGTGTGGGCAGGCGCTTCGGCGGTGGCCTCGGTGGACAAGGGCAGGGGCAAAGGATGCAAACCAGGCGACGGCAAGGGACAGGATGGGCACGGTGCTTAGCCTGCCCCTGTCGGCCTCCAGCTTGACGCATAGGGCTGGACGCGGACATGCTCAACCACCAAGAGCGGGGGCAAGCAGTGCACGCTGGACGACCTGCCGAAGCTGCAGCAATTGGCCAACAGCCTGGAGGAGCTGGGCGACCACCAGACAAGCAACACCTACAAGCTGGTTGTTAGAATAGAAGTCTGCAGGAGGCCACCAAGCTTACCACGCCTAGCACGGGGGCGGGCCAGCACGCCATGAACCAAACCAATTAACAGGTCGAAAGCAACGTGCGCGCGGCGAATGAGCTGGCGCAGAAGCTCAAACAGGATAAGCAGGACGCGGTGGATGCCATGCATGAGTATGAGGCCTGCGAGAAAAAATTGCATGGGGCTGTTCGCACTCTCGCCGCCGACGTTCCTCCTCGTGGCGGACAGGAGACGATGTTCAAGCACGGTCTGGACATCGAGCACTTGTTGTTGGCAGGCTCTTTTGAGACTCTTGACAATGATTCGTTTTGTTTGGAGCCGGCCGGCGTCGAGCTGTCGCGAGCGGAGAAGGAGGAGGCGGCCAAGAGGAAGGCTGACTTGGAATCATCGAGATGAGCCCGCAGCCGCGGGCGGGGCCCGCCAGCCCCGACCGCTGTCGCCAGAAGTCACGGCCCAGGCTGGCGCTACTGCTCGAGGGCCTGCTGCCGAGCACGAGATCGAGCGCGAGTTTGGCGCGGGGCGCGGGCGCGAGCGAGGCTTCTCCTCTTTCACATTTTCTGGGCCTACAACTACTAGGAGGTGAACTGGCGGCCACTGCACTTCCCAGCCCCTGCCACTCGGTACGACATGCGCTTCGATGACAAGTGGTTCGACGCGAAGTACGACTTGCCCTTGATTGCATCGACTATGGCGGCTGCGAAACCGCTTCAGAGTGCCACTCTTTCCCCAGGCGGAAGGCGCAGGGGGGTCTCCCCCCGGGGAGCCCAGCCCATTTGGACCTGCTTGCAACGGCGGGTGCGCTCGGCGTCTCGGGCAGCATCGGGCCGAATCAGCCAGGAGAACGGCGTTGCCGCGAACGCCGGACTCCGCGTCAGGCCCGTTCTCGGCCACGCCAGGTACTGGGTCGGGAGGTTGGGGTCAACCCTTCTAGCTGCGAGTTTACCCACAGGTGCCACCTCCTGGGTCGAGCTACATCGACATCGAGGCGCACTGGCACTCACGAGCCCACGGATCCCCCGCGGGACAGGAAGATTCCATCTCGTCAGGGCGCGCTTGTTTTGCGTCGACGCGTTGATGTCCACATGGCCGAAGACTCAGAGGGCGCCCATACACGCGCCAATCTTGTTCCGCCATGACCCCAGGGAGCCTCGCGATTTCGCGGCCACTGCGACGAGCAGCACGTCGGCGACGCGCCCTTGGTCTCAGGGCGACGGCGCCCAAGGCCTGGCCCGGAGCCCAGGCCACTCGTCTGCGACGTTTTTTTGTTTTTTGTTCCGCGGGCCGCCGTGGAGGCCTGCGCCGGCGCCCACGAGGCCCCGCGCGTTTCCCCCCAGCCTCCAGGCAGAGAGCCTGGCCAGACCCTGCGAGCGAGCTGGAGGCCGTCGAGACCGCGCGGCCGAGCGTTGCCCAGCCAATCCCGAGGGAGCATAGGACCTTCGCGGCGGAGACGCGCAACGCCAACGCGCGGCCCTCGCTGCAGCAGCACCCCGATGAAGAGACCAATGCCTCAGCGTTTCTCCTGCAGGAAGCGTTCGCCAGTAAGGATTCCGTCGTGGCCCACGAGGGCCCCGTGACGGCTCTGGGGTGGGCCTCTGCTCTCAGCGCATCCGAGGTCACCGAGCAAAGGTGCTCGACGTCGGGCGCGGGGGTTGCCGCGACGAGCCACGCCAGCATGGGCACGGCCCCGAATGTCACCCCTCGGACAAAGACCCCCTGGGGCCCGAAGGCCAGCATGGGCCAGCCCGTCTTCGAGAGTGCGCGTTCGGTTTCGGCGCCCCTCTTCATCTTAGGAGGCGACTGGAACTGCGCGCCAGAGGAGCTGGCAGCCAGCAACTGGCCAGAGCGACTTGGAGGGGCACTCGCGCGCGCGAGCGATCTCACGCGCAGGTCGACTGCGAAGAACAGGCGCACGAATGATTTTCAGTTGACAGTCGAGCTTCGCTCGAAGGCGGGACAGGAGCTGAGAGTGGCGGACAGGAGTCGAGGCGCGCTGGCCCGTCGCACTCACCCTGCCCGGACAGCCGTTCAGGGGGGGAAGTCTGGGTGATCAGATGGCCCCGCTTCTTCCCTTGGAGCTCCCAATCGGGCCCCGACTTGAGCCGCCTGCCCGGGGCGCATCATGCAAGTTGATGCGAAGAGCGGAAGTCAGGGGGAGCTAGACCGCACCTCCCAGTCGGCACCGTTGCCGAGGAGCTCCACCGAAGTTCCTCTGGGCCCCAGCCCTCAACAAATCTGGAGGAGCGCGCCCCGCAGGGCCCTCGGGGTCGAGCGGGCGGAGCTGCGCCACATTTCTCGCGCAGGGGAACCCCGGGGAGACGCTGAATCTCGCCGCAGTCTGGAGCGTCTGCGCGCTGGGCCGCAATCTCTTTCCAGATGACATGGCTGGCAAGGCTGGCTGCCCGCTCTAGAAGAGTTGTTGTTTTTCTGCGCCGCGCAGCAGCGGCGCGCGCCGTCTGCCGCTGCTACCAAGATCGCCACGAAGCACGAGCTCGCCTTCAAGTCTGATAGGGGGCCAAGTGGAGGACTCGGGCTGCCGAAGCGGCTGGAGGAGGCGGGGAAGGCGCACGAGCACGGTAAGTTTGCTGTCGGTTGGGCCCCCATCCACAAGTGGACCCCCACCCTGACCCCCAACAACTAATTGACGAACTGCTGGGCCAGTGGAAGTCGCGCGGCCCTTCAAGTTTGCACCTGGGAGCTCCCTGGGCCCATTGCCTGCATCAACCAGCTCATCCAGGACCAGGCCAAGGAACGAGGAAGCCGCGTCGACGAATTGCGCCCCCAGGTCTTTGAGCCCACGGTCATCGGGAGAGCTGATAGGTCTATCAAGAGGTACCCCGCCCTTGGCGCCGACGCCCTGCACCCCGGGGAGCTCGCCAGTTTCTCTGGCGGCGCGCCCACATGCTCTGCCTTGCTCTGGAGATCGCAAGAATGCGAAGGTGTGTCAAGTGCGGCCATCGCGCTGATCCCGTTCGCACAGTCGGTCAAGCCTGACGGGGGACACCCGCCCGTCGGCATCGAGACAGGGGACAGCAGGGTCGTTCATTTGCCAGGCACGGGGCTGTCTCCTAGGATAATCGGCACCCTCGGGCACATCACTACGGGGCCCGGAGTCGCTCGCGTGAGAGAGCGGCGTGGGGGCAGAGTTTGGCGGTCAAGCATTTGAGCCTCAGGAGACTAACCACGGGCCTAGGGATGATGTTGGACCCTGGCCACAGCACATGATAAGGCGCGCTACTTCCATCTGATCTTCGCCGCTAAGGAATGGGGGCTCCCACCGTGTATGTTGCGCCTCTTCTTGCTTAAGTATCGAGGTCCTCGTGCTCTCAGCCCGGCTGGCATCTGTTCGCGGCAGGTCTGGACGCCGCAGACCACACACACACACACACACACACTTGCAGGATGCCCGTTCGCCGCGTCTTTGCTGCACCTCTTGCTGCTCGCGCCTCTCGACTCGTTGCAAGAGCATTGTCCGTCATAACGAGCCTCTAACGTCGTCGACGATATGAGCCTCTTCGTTGGGGGCATGCTTAAGATGGCCACAGTCTGTCTCGGGGGCGCAGAGGCTTATCTACGCGAGCCCCATCGAGGCCTCGCGCCTCGCACCTTGCCATCTCGGAGCCCACGCGGGGCCACATTGTCGCCCTGTTCCTCGGTCGCCAAGGCTACGGCCCGCAAACTGGCCAAGTGGAATTTCCGGTCTCCAGGATCGGCTAAGGGTCCCTGGGTGGACTTCGGCACGGGCGCCAAGGGGCCTCACGCCAAGAAGGTCGTCCCTGGCAGGCTCGGCATGCGTAGGGCTAACCTCTCCTAGCTCCGAAGCCGCCGCAGGTCCTTCCGGGGCCTCATGCAGGTCATCAAGGCCAGAGCCGTGCCTGCCAGCATGCGTGGGGTCAGCGCGCGAGGGATGGGTGGCGGGAGGACTCGGTCTCCTCGCGCCTCGTTCGGGGCTGGGCGAGGCAGGGGCAGGGCGCAGGAGTTCATGATGCGTGCCTTGCCTTGCCTTGCCTGCTCCTCCTCCTCATCCTCCTCCTGCTCCTCCTGCTCCGCCCCCGTCGTCTTTGTTTTCGTCGCGTTCGTCGTTCCTCCTCCGTCCTCTTCGCCCTCCTCGTCCTCCCCTCATCACCCTCGCGTTCTCTCTGTGACCAGCCGGCCCGAGCAGGCACTTCCACGACGCGTTCGGGGCCCCCCGTGCGGCGATGCTCGACCAGCTCGCAGGCGCGGCGGGATTGCTCGGCTGACGTGGGCAGGGAAAGGGGGGAAGGGGGAGACGGGGAGGAGGAGGGTTCGGCAGCGACAACGCAAGAAAGCGTCAAGCCGACGTTCACCGAGAGAGGGAGAGGTGGACTGGAGGCAGGCATCTGCCCTTCCCACCCGCCCGCCAGATCGATACCTCACCCTTCGACTCCGACGCTGTGGCCGGGAAGGCACGGACGGGTGAGTGAGAAGATTGGGCATCTTTCGGACGCGTGCATTGTTCTCGGCGATGCCCGTGCCAGAAATTCTGCCATCCTGGAGCATCTCGGGCCACAGGGGAAGGCCGTTGCTCTTCCCAGTGGGAAGGCGCAGGTGGGTGAGTGGGAGGAGGAGGAGGAGGAGGAGGAGGAGGAGGAGGAGGAGGAGGAGGAGGAATAGGAGGAGGAGGAGGAGGAGGAGGAGGAGGAGGAGGAGGAGGAGGAGGAGGAGGGGGAGGAGGAGGAGGGGGGAGGGGGGGGAGACGCGTGCGCGTCCTGCCCCCCCGCAGGACTGGGGGTGGGGGGATGCTCGAGAATGCCCGTGTGCCGCCCGGGTCACGTGCCCCCTATCGCTTGAACGGGACCTGGCCGCCCCGGCATTCCTGGAGGCTTGCCAGGACGTCTTCGTAGATCGGCAGGGCGCTCCGAAGCAAGAAAGATTGTTAGAATCACCGAGCGCGGTCCACTGCTCGCAAAGTGCCTGCTCGCAAACGTCCGAAAATGACATGTCCGTTTTGATGTAATTTATCGTAGATCCTCCGCGGGGGATCCAGGCCATTTGCGAGTAGTTACGCTGCGAGTAGTGGAGCGCGCTCGTCTCCAGAATGTGGAGCCGGCGTGCTGAAACAAGACGATCTCAGCCAGAGATGCGTTGAGAGAGCATCGCGTGCAAACCGCAGGAGGCCCTCAGAACATTGCTTGGGCGGGCCTGGGCAGGCCAGGGCGCCTCGCCACTGCTTGTACCACCTGCCTCGCTTGCGCCTTGGGGGAGAAATCCACCTCCGCCTCCTGCCCTCGAGTCGGACATGTCCCTCTACAGGAGGAAGATCCCAAAGCAGTCCCAAAAAATAGTCTGGGAACGATCTCGTGTACTACGTTTGATTATGGTTTGGATATGGTTGACCATGTCCTATGTTCCTTCCAAGATCTGCCCGTAGGAGGGCATGCCCGACCTGGTCCTACCCCCCCCCCCATGTATGTATGTATAGATATATATATATATATATATATATATATATATATGTGTGTGTGTGTGCATGTATGCATGCATGCATGTATGGATGTATGTGTATGTATGTATGTATGTATGTATGTATGTATGTATGTATGTATGTATGCATGCATGCATGCATGCATGCATGCATGCATGCATGCATGCATGCATGTATGGATGGATGGATGTATGTATGCATGTATGTATGTATGTATGTATGTATGTATGTATGTATGTATGTGTGTATGTATGTGGATGTGTGGATGTGTATGTGTGGATGTGTATGTGTGTATGCATGTATGTATATAGATAGATGTATGTATGTATGTATGTAGGTAGGTAGGTAGGTAGGTAGGTAGGTAGGTTTGTGTGTATGTGTGTCTGTGTGTCTGTCTGTATGCCTGCCTGTATGTCTGTCTGTCTGTCTGTATGTATGCATGTATGTATGTATGTTAACACGTATATATATATATATATATATATATATATATATATATATACCACATCTACAGGTATACATATGCATATATATACACACACACACACACGCGGCCCCCTTTCCCAAGGGGGGGGGGCGTCGTTCCTCGCCTCGGTGGGGGAGGCTCGCTCCGCGAGGCCCGTGGTGGCCTCGCTCCGCGCCCGGAGCGGGGCGCACCTCGCTGCGCGACTGGGCGCGCGCGCGGGCGGAGACATCTGCAATCGGAGGAGAAAAAAACGTATAAACTCAAAAGGGAAAAAAGCACACAGACACAATTGATCGTCGATCCCCAGGACAGTATGGGAAGATATGGGAAGTTGGGGGGAGGACAAAAACCCAGAAAACATGGGAAACTATGGGGAATCCTGTTATTTGTGTCTATTTTTTGTGTGTCCCAGGGCCCCTTCATAACCGCGCGGCTTTCTTGGATCAACGCTTGGGCCCCCCTGGCGGCGCCTCCGGCGCCGCCCCTGGCGCGCGAAGCGCGCCACGGAGGCGGGGCCCAGGCGCAGATCCAAGAAATCCGCGCGGAGCGCGCAAGGTTTCTGTTTACGCAGTTTTCCTTTCTCCTGTGCCATCAATAGGGGGCCGCATGCGAACCCTACCCCTACCCTCACGATTTCTGAAGGGGAGGGTGGGGAAGGCGAAGTGAACCCCACCCTCCCACTCAGAAATCGTGGGGGGTAGGGGTAGGGTTCGCATGTGGCCCCCTGATCGAGGCGCTGCATTGGGGACCACCTCGGGGACTGGAGGGGCTTCGGTTTTCGGCCCCTCCCTTCGATGCAGGTCGTGGAACCCAGTCGCGGCCGAGGCTCCCCGTGGCCAGGCGAACCCCTTTATTCCTTCTTTTGGCGCTCCTTGTGGCAGCGCGTCGGCTGCCTTCCCCTCCTGCTCGTCATCCTCCTCTTCCTCCTTCCCCTCCTCCTCCTGCTTCTTCTTTTCCTCCTCCTCCTCCTCCTCCTCCTCTTCTTCCTCGGCCTCCTCCACCTCCTGCTCCCCCTCACTCCTTCTTCTCCTCCATGAAACCGCCCAGGGGTGGCGCATCTGCATCGCATCGGCGGGGGCTCGCTTCGCGATTGGTGGCGCTCAGTGGCACTGGAGAGCGGAGTGCGCCACGAGGTGCGCACGGAGGCAAGCGAATCCGACGTTCTCTGATCACGACGGTTCTCGCATAGGCGCGCGCTCCGACCGCGTTCCTCCCAGCAGACCTCGAGTCCTCTTGGGCTTCCGCTGGCCATCGGTAACCGCCAGCTGTGGCACACCACCTTGCCGATCTGATCTCGGTCCCCAGTTGCGCCGGCACCTGTCTCTTATGTAACTGTTGTGGGAGGGCGGGCGGGAATGGGCATGCCGTGCTTGACTCGCTCGAGCTGGCTAGCTTGACTCCTACTCCTACTCCTACTCCTAACCCTACTCCTCCTCTTCTTCCCTCCTCCTCCTCCTCCTTCCTCCTCCTCCTCCTCCCTCCTCCTCCTCCTCCTCCTCCTCCTCCTCCTCCTCCTCCTCCTCCTCCCTCCTCCTCCTCCTCCTCCTCCTCCTCCTCCTCCTCCTCCTCCTTTGCAAGGCGCCCACGGCCCGCCCCGCTTCCTCGGCGCGGCCGTGCTGCACTGGCCGGGGGCGCTGCAGAAGCCATGGCAGCGGTGCCTCCCGGCGACGAGGCCTCGCGCGCCGCGCGGGCGTCTCGCAATGACGCCAGGGGTCAGTATCGTTTATCCGACCCCACATTTCTGGTTGGGACTGTCTTGTTTTCACACATCTGGTTTTTGTTCTACGAACACTGTTTTCGTTCTTAGAACACGTTTGGGTTCTAGGGACATGTCGTGGTAGGCCTCTAGAAGATGCCCGGACGGTCGGTCCCTGTTCAAATTCGGGGTTCAAGAGACGGGGGTCAGTGCAAATGGGGGTCAGCCAGGACACCGGATCTTGCAGGATCCTGCGAAGACCCCCTTTGGCTGACCTGGGTTAGCGAGCCGCTCGTGGCCGCGAGGCGGCCGCGCATATTGGCTCACCCGGGTTTGCGAAGACCTGCGTTGCAGTTTTTTTCCCCACATCCAAAGTGGGGTTCGTGTTTTCTCTGGACACCCCGCGCAGGAACAAGAACCCACCATCATCATCATCACTCATTCCTCACTCATTCACTTACTCATCATCCCTCACTCACTCACTCACTCACTCACTCACTCACTCACTCACTGACTCATCATCACTCACATATGATGAGGATGAGTGTGCGCGTGAGAGAGTGTGATGATCATCATCACCACCATCATCACACGGCTCGCTCACTCATCATCATCATCATTATCATGTTAGTAATCCGAACGGGCCATCGGAATCCTGTAACTGTCGTCACTTTTGAGCTCCTCAGGCCTGGATTTGGAGGAAGTATCAGGCGGGAGCCTCGTCTGTGAGTAACTTGCGAGGAAGTCTCAGGCGGGGGAGCCCCCTCCCTATGGGGCCCGCAGGTCATGTTAGTAATCCGAGCGGGTCATCGGAATATTGTAACTGTCGTCACTTTTGGGCTCCTCGCGGGAGGCGGAGCAGCTCGCGGCAGAGCTGGGCTTCGGGCTGCCTCCCGCCTGAGCAGAATAGAAGAAGGAGGGAACAGAGGGCAGATGAGAGGGCGAGAGGAGGGCGTTTGTCATGGCCAGGAGGAAAGGGAGAAGGGCACGCAAAACAGATTATCATGCGGGGTCCTTCTGTCGGAGTAATTGTCCTGCATTGCAGTTTTTTGGTTTCCTGCTGACCCGGGTCCGGGTTGACCCGGGTCAGAAGATCCCCGACAAGTAATCAGGGATGTTGTCTCCCGGTTTTCCCGAGCCAGCGTGCGGGCCGCATCTGCCGCGCTGCGGCGCAACAGCTGTGCGAGATGGATTGCGGTCTTCCGCCGTCCGTTGCGGTGGACGCCTGCAAACGGCCTCGGGACATGCAAAGGAATTCGGCAGCGCTTATCCTGCCCCCACCCCCATCCTCATCCCCTTCGAGACCCCCCTAAAAATGCTCCACCCCCGTTGGGGATACCCCGCTCGAAACCCGAAGGGGACGGCCTGTACCCCCATCTATGGGGGGGTAAATCGGCCAGTGGGGCCCATGCCACGCCGCCGGGGACGGGGATCGGGTAAGCGATGCTCGAGGGGCAGAGCTTTCGAGGAGGAGGTCGACTGCAGAATTACCCGTCGGTCGTTGAAAGCAGATGCTCTCGGACTCCCAGATCCCAATTTATGTTCAGGAGGAAGAGGAGGGATGAGGAGGAGGAGGGAGAGGGAGGAGGAGGGAGGAGGGAGGAGGAGGAGGAGGAGGAGGACGGATCGCCCAAGCCCTTCGGAGAACCTGGCCGTGGACCGCCTTAGGACTCCCAGATCCCAATAAAGCTTGAAAGCAGATATATGTTTCAGGTGCCTTCCTATACTTCAAGAACCGATGCGTTCTCGTTGTTCGTTGCAGTTCTCTGGGAGGGCATGGACCCAAATCTGCTTTGTCCGCCTTTCTGCTTCATGATGTTGCCTTCTTCTTCTTATTATTATTATTATTATTATTATTATTATTATTATTAGTATTAGTATTATCGTTATTATTATTATTATTATTATTATTGTTGTTATTATTATTCTTATTATTTTTTCTTCTTCCGACCGACTTCTACGCCGGTCGTTGAAACTACGTATTTGTGGATTCTTCGGTTCCAGTATATGTTCTAGGCGCCTTCCTACTTCAAGGATCGAGTGGTTTCCTTATTTCCCTCCTCTTCAGGGGGCTGGCGGAAGCCCGATCTACTTCAATGCCTCCCTACTTTTTCTACCCACTTCTTCCAACCGACGGGTACTCCAAAAATTGATTGTTCCGTCGAGTCCACAAAAAAGTAGAATGTTTCGCAGATCCACGGAAACTTCTCTACGCATTCCTCGCAGATCCGATGGGGGAAGTCAAGCCTAGGGGTAAAGCAACTTTGCAGTCGACCCCTTCCTCGAAGAATGGGTCCCGAGGGAGACTCTGGACGCCCGAAATGGGTACGGAAAGAATGGGTACGATGCCCAACAGCAGTTCCTGTTCATTTTCAACAGGATTCGTTGTCCACGCCGCCGCGGCCTGTGCCCATTCGAGACAGAAGGCCGCCTGCCCAACAGCGGCCGCCGTTGGTTTGGAACAACATTTGTTGTACCCATTCTTTCCGTACCCGTTTCGGGCGTCCAAAGAGACGGGCTCCGAGGTTTCTCGCCGTGTTCGGGCTGTCGGGGCCCATTCTTCGGGTGCTTCCAGACTGCCGGGGGCCCTCCACGGGCTCGGGGACGTTCGGAAAACGGCTCAGGGAGAGGCAGGAGGAGAGAGAGGAGGCGAGGGAGGAGCATGGGAGGAGGAGAGGGAGGAGGAGGAGGGAGCGAGGAGGGGAGGGAGGAGCGAGGAGGGAAGGGAGGAGGGAGGAGCGAGGAGGGAGGAGGGAGGAGGGGGAGGGAGGAGGGCGGAGGGAGGAGGGAGGAGCGAGGAGGGAGGCGGGAGGGGGGGGGAAGGAGAGGGGAGGACGAGCAAGTGGTCCTGGGGAGAGGCCCCTGGGCCCAGGGCCCGCTTCCCTCGGGACCCGTGTCCCCCATGCTGCAGGGGTCGGCAAGCAGGGGGGGGAGCCTAGGAGGCCCCACGTTCAGATGTCGTTTCGACTCCTGTTTTTGAAATGAAAAATTGTCGTTTCGACTCCTCCGGCTCGGTGCGATTCGTCTCCGATGGACTCCGATTCGATTCGACCTTCGGATTAGGGGGGGCCCAAAGGGCCCCCCTCCGAGGTCATTTCGACTCCTCCGACTTGATGCGATTCGATTCCGAGCGATTCCGATTCCGATTCGGTTCGACCTGTGATTCCGATTTGGGTTTAGGCCCCTCAAAAGAGGCCTGCCTAGCCTGCCGATTTCCGGCGATTCACGTCGATCGCCATGAAGCAACGCCCGAGTCGTCCTCGCGGTGGGAGCCGGTGCGGTCGAGACGGGGGCGGGGAGGATGGGCGTTCGGTACCAGGGTTGAGTCGGGCCTGTCCCTCTACAGGAGGAATCTTCAAACATGGTTTGTTTGTTTTTTGTTTTAAACCCCAAAAAACTGTGGACGATGTTTTTGGGGTTTTTTCTATTTGTTTTACCATGCTTCACTGTTCGTCCGAAGTCCGCCTGCAGGGAGCATGCCCGGCCTCCCAGATGGCGGCGGCGCGCCGAGGGGGGAGGCGCGGCGGAGCTCCAGAGAGGGCTCCGGGAGCTCCTCGGGAGGCCGGAGGCCTGTTGAGCCTCCGGGAAGGCCTGCCCCCTCCTCCTCCCCCTCCTCCTCCCCCTCCTCCTCCTCCTCCTCCTCCTCCTCCTCCTCCTCCTCCTCCTCCTCCTCCTCCTCCTAGTCGCAATTTCGGCTGGCAGGAGCATGACCGACTTACGAATGTCTTGCTTTCTACCCAAAAGCGGTTTTGACCTCCCATAGTTCGGCCAGGCGGGGGGGGGAGCACACACACTTCTTACCATCATGAGAATCGTTCAGTATAATCCACTTTATGCGGGGTCTGTAGAAAGGCTAAACGACATTAGCCAAGAGCTTTCCCAATGGGACGTGATCCTCCTCAACGGTACGCATGAGTGGTGTGGGGAAGGGCCAGCAAAAAGGACGAATGGTGACAAAAGCATGCGGAGTTTCTATCTTGGTTCACAAGAAGATCCCACCCACTGCGCTCAGGAGTATCTACCACCCTCCCTGTGGGTTACAGGGCAGAGCAGCAGGCATTAAGTTACATGTGGGGGACCAGGACTACGCACTCTTCTCCATGTAGTTTGCGCCAGTGCATGTTCGCTGCCACAGTGAAATAGGGAGGAGACTTTGCGAATGGCTAGAACACACTACTGACCGTCTCGGCGCTAGAGCTATGATTTTGGTCGGGGGAGACATCAATAGCGACCTAGGGCTCTACCGAGCCCCAGACGGACTAGTGCAAAAATCATACGAGAAATCTCTGGGACCGTATGCGCAGGTACTTGAAAACGACAACGGAACCACAGGTAGGAAATTAGCTTCCCATAGCGAACTAGCGTTTGTGACGACATACCACGACATTGGGCACACATTCGTGGGACCACAGGGGGGACTGAGCAGGGTCGACCACATGATGATTCCGACAGGTGTTTGAGGAGTTGTGGACAGGTGCATGGTACTTCACACTGCAGGAAAGCGCCTACAGTTAGCCAAAGCACGAGGGCCACGAGACCATCTACCAGCGGGGCTGGCTCTCAATAGGAAGGCGGTCCACCTACCACGCCCCCCACTCCCACATGCTCAGCGACTGGACAGGGATGCACTTATGCAATGCCTCAGGAAAGGGACGAGGAGAGAGAAGCTATTGAAGAAGATGGAGGAGGAAGTAAGCAAGACGGGGGAGGAGGAGTGGCGAAGTCTGCTGGACGCACCAACACCCGACAGAGCCTGGGCGAAGTTTGGAGACGCCATTCGCGGTGCACTACGACAGACGTTCCCAGCCGGCAAATCGACGGAGGATCCGATAGAAGCCAGGCTCAAGGAAAGAAGGATGAAGTTGCTGGCCGATAGGAGAACCCTCCGAGAAACGCTGGCCCCAGAGATCCCAGAGGAGGCACTCGCTCAGAAATGCGAGGAGCTTAAGGAAATCACAGCTGTTCTGAAGAAGATGAGGGAGGAGAGGGAGAGGGAGAGGAGGGCGAAGTTGGTGGAGGAGATATGGGAGGCGTCGGAGAGAGGAGACTTCTCGGAAATGCATAGGCTGAGGATCCAGTACCAGGCCAACGGCAGAGGACCCAAAAAAAGGTACTACTTCACGCCAAAAACTCATTGGACGAAAGCCATGTGGGAGGAGGAGCTAGCTAAGCCGCCAGAAGATGGAGGACTAGGAGCGGTCAGGATGAGCATTGAGGAGCAGCTGGAGGAGCATGAGAACTTTCACTCCAATAGGATGCCATTGCCGTGTGACCACGACCTGTTGGAATGCGTAGGGCGAGATCGCAGGTCGATGTTGAAGTATTGCAAGAAGGCAAAAAAACGGCGAGCATGGCCGGCGCGGGGGCCACCAGTGGAAGCGACTCCTCTCTTGCTGGATCCGACGACACAACTGTCCGACCCCAGCGAGCAGATTTGGAGGTGGGAGGGGACAGCAGCGAATGCAGCAGGAGATGATGAGGAGGAGACCGCCCGCTTGCCGACAGCGTTCCGATTCCAGCGAGGGAGGAAGTTATTGGAGAAGCTTGGGTGGACAGGAGGAGGGCTGGGAGTCAGAGAGGGTATCGCGGCCGATCCAGAAGCGCTGCACGACAACTATGGTGCAGGAAGAGAGGAAACAGCAGGGCTGGGAAGAGCTAAGCCGAGTGGGTACAACAATCGGACGGCGCAACGACGGCTCACTGATGCGCTGACCAAATGTAGGACGGCTATAACGACACCACTGGACTGGCATAGATCGATGGCATTCGATGCAGAGAAATCCAACGGGCGAGAGGGAATACAGGGCAAGCGGACCATGCACGCGTATTGCAGCATGGGGATGTCGTGGTTTTCAAGACGAGGAACCCCACTATTCACCACGCCTGGGCACAAGGAGGCCTTCCCTCTAGATGCCGAGAGAATGCGATAGCCACTGTCGACACTACGAAGTGGAAGGCCAGCCAGCTAGGGTATAGTAGCGTTTACACGAACTACGATTGTAGCAACGCATTCGCCAGCACCAAGAAGACTCTCCTACAGGCAGTAGCGTACAAACAGGCCGACGAATGGGATAAACCGCATGCGGTAGGTGCGATTGAGGGGACCAGCCTCACGATGGAAGCAGCAGATGGTACAGTTACGATGGCGACGACAACAGGAGCGCAAATGGGATTTACATTATGCCCACGGCAATTCAACGACAGTTACAACATTTACGTGGGTAAGTGGAACGACCTACTGAGAGAGGACCCAAACCAAAAGCTCCACGACACCTTCCACCCCATCACGGGAGTTCGTCACGATCTGGCTATAAATACCTTTCTGGACGACATTACAAAAGCCACATCATCTCAAACAATAGCACGCCACAGGAGATCATCTCACAGATCAGCGAAGCAACAACCAAGCGCACTGACACCATCAAAGTAGGAGGCTGGTTTCTCACCAACGGCAAAACCAACCACCTCCTGGACTTGAAGGGACGGGGCAGCTACGCTCGCACCCGTAGGATACGTAGGGCCAAAGAGTTAACAGGTGCAGCACTACGCGAGATGAGAGCACTAGGGCCGCATACTCCCTCGGACCAGGGTACGAGAGGAGAGATTCGCAGAAGGTGCGACGCAGTGCGACTAGCTTGGCGGCAGGGCGGGATCTTCTGGTCATCGGAAGCGGCGTTCGACATCAAACGTATAATGTTCATTGCCTTTGTGTGTGGCGCAGCACTCAGCGGATTGAATTGCTTCGTCTTGCCTCAGGCCGCCACTGATGCACTCGACTTTCTCATAGGCAAGTATCTGCGCACCCTAGCACGGGGTAAAATGCCGCGGGTTAGGGAGGATGGGGGGACACGTGGCCATAGCACAGCCAGAGTATTTAGGGGGTGGCGACTGCCTCGGACAGCTACTGCGCTGCGAATGCGTCGACTGAAGCGGTTCCAACAGTGGGCCCGACAGCCTCGCGAATGCAGCAATGTGATAGCAGCGGTTTTTGGCAGCTCAGCTATGGAAAGATTAGCGGGAATATCACGACTCGAGAGGGGGGACAGAGTGGGGCAGCAATCAACACCAATGGCCAAGCAGTATATAGCAGACCTAGAAGCATTAGCAGCAGTGGATGAAGGCATGAGGGAGTGGTGGGAGAGCGTAAGACCGACCTCGATATCCTCCGACACGGCACGAAAGAGTGGGACATGTGGACACAAACCGACCCACAGATCCCACACAATGCGACGGCAATCTGGGACGGGCAGGGGGAGGAGGTGGACGAGGAGAAGGGGGATGAGCTCATGTTTAAACCGTTCTGGTGCGACTACGTGTGCGAAGACACGGAAGGTAATCAGTCGGCATGCGGGAAATGCTCTGCTACGCCTCAGGCCCTGAAAGCACGCAAACGAGGAGCTCACAACGGATGCACCCTCCTGTCCCAGATCGCGATTACATACCAGTGCCCATGGCGCATGAGCGTATTTAACAAGAGGAAGACAGCGATTGACCACGTTCAGCGGGCATGTGATCGACACGGGGTTTGCCACACTGACTACTCAAAATGGGCACATGAAGTAATAATACCAGAGGTTTTGACATGAAGCATATGTGATCATGTGGCTCGAGACTTGCACTCTTTTCAGTTACACGCACGCGAGCAGCACGTTGGACCAGAGAGCGCCCTCGAGCGAGCGGACGATCCTCCCACCGCCGTGCGAGACCTGGCAGATCGGAGTCAACAAGCGAGGAGGGGCGCCGGCAGCAGGGCCAGGGGGGCCCGCAAGAAAGGCGCGACCTACAGCGGCAGGAGACGGCGGGGAGCCGCCGCGCGGGACAGGCAGGGACCTCTTCGACGACGACTACGACCAGAGGGGCCAGGCGCTGCGCAAGTTGGTCTCGAAGAACAGCCAAGAAATACGAGATCTCATGCATCAGACGGGGGGCTTCTGGCTCGCGCCCGCAACGTCCAAGCCATTCACAGCGGGGTTAGACGCGGGCAAAGAATATGGAAATGCGGTACGAGCAGCAGGAAAAAAGCACGGGCTTGGATCTCCGCACGCGCACGTGGCGACGGCGACGCTCAGGGCCCTCCACGACGAGATAGACGGAGAACAAGGGAGCGCTCTGGAGATCTCCAGCAAGCAGGTCATCAGGGAGTTTGTGGAGGCCACCAATCACTCGAAGGGCAACATTCTCGTGGAGGAGATGATCCTCGCGTTCAAGGTCCAGGAGACGCACGAGCGCGAGGACTTGGACGCAGGCGACCGCCTGGGGAAGATCTCCTTCACCTTGAACCCGACGCCGCGCCTGCAGGCGAAATTGGCGACGCACGAGGTATGGGGAACAGGCCATGGAAGCAGTGAAGGTGCACGAGGTGCTCAAGCTGAAACGGCCATCACGACCGGCTTGCAGTCCATCAACGGCAAGAAAGCGACGGGCCCTGGCCCCAAGACTGCGCTGGAGAGGTCAGTAGAGAGCACGTTGCGGCGCAGGTGAGACAAGAGCCACACTGCGCACCCATCGAGGACGCGGGCACCAACCACCCGAGCCTCACCTCGTCGTCGAGGAAGAGACGACGACTTACCACGACGGTGGGGCTCGGCACCGCTCCTTCTGCCTCTTCTGCTGCAGAATGATTTGAAGGGAGAGGGGAAGAGACGCTCTCTCGCAGTCGGACCTCGGGCCTTCATCCTGTTCCCTGGCCCCCTTGCTCCGACCTTGAAAAGATTGCCAATGACATAAGTCAGGACCCTCGGAGACTCGACAGTGTGAGATCGAATATTGATGTCAGCGACAGATTTCGGGAGATCCACGAATTGGCCCAGCTGCGCCGAGAGCGTCGGAGATTTCAGATGTCTGGGGGCCCCGATAGAAGCTCCGAGAGAGCGCGCCCGCAGGGCCCGAGCAAAGGAGAGGGGGGGGCTAGGCTTAAGCTACCCCCCCCCTCCCTTGAGCCGCCCCTGTTGGAAGCACCCCCCCTCCCCCCCCTTTTTTTTTTGCAAGGGGGGGGGGGGTACAGCTGCCCCCCCCCCCCCCCCCCCCTGGGCTTCCCCCGGAGCTACCCCCCCCCCCCCCTGCTGGAAGCTACCCCCCCTCCCCCGTTTTCGTGCAAAGGGGTGGGGGGGGGGGGGGGCTTGGAAGCTACCCACCCCCCCCCCCCCCCTTTCCCCCCCGCCCGGAAGCCACCCCCCCCCACCCCCCTTTCCAAAGGGAGGGGGGTGCTTAAGCTACCCCCCCCCCATTGGAGCCGCCCTGCTGGAAGCCCCCCCCCCCCCCTTCCCCCTCTGTGCCAAAGGAGGGGGGGGGCTTGGAAGCCCCCCCCCCCTTCCCCCCTTTGGCCGCCCAGCCCCCGGAGCCTCCGCCCTCCCTTTCGCCGACGATCCAAAATGAACAATCCACGATCGAGGATGGACGATCGACGATCAACGATCGACGATCGAAAATCCCAATCGAATCGCTTGCAATCGATTGCACTCCATTCCACTGCAATCCCCCTCCCCACCTCCCTCCGCTCCCTCCCCTCCCTCCACACCCTTCGTTCCATCTCCTCCCTCCCCTCCCTCTCCTCCCCTCCCTCCCTTCCGTCCTGTCCCTCCCCTGCAATCCAATCGATTGAATCGAGTGCAATTCAACCAATTGCAATCCAATCGATTGCAATCCAATGGATTGCAATCGAATCGTTTTCAATCCAATGGATTGCAATCGATTGCAACGCAAGTGTATCATTCAACTCGTTCCGTGCCAACGCCCGGGAACGAAAAATTACCTTGGCGACGTACCCAACCCCTGCGCAAACGCAGGGCGCAAATAGTTTGGGACACTTTATAAGGGGGGGCTGACGGAGCGAGGGTTACATATGTCTGCAGACGGAATTCGGGAGTCTCGCAGGAAACTGGCTTCAGGACAAGGACTAGATAAAGCTGATTAATTGCAATCCCTGAGCAACCCTGGCCACTTCGAAAGCGGGGATCTCAGATCGCAGCCCCCCACGGATGGCGAGGTCTAATTTGGGTCCGCGCGTGGCGTCACTGTGCTGGGCCCCCCAGCAGGCCTTGAAAGTGGCGACAGTTTCACAGATCGCAGCCCCCCAGGGATGGCGAGGTCTAATTTTCGTCCGCGCGTGGCGTCACTGTGCTGGGCCCCCCAGCAGGCCTCGAAAGTGGCGACAGTTTCACAGATCGCAGCCCCCCAGGGATGGCGAGGTCTAATTTGGGTCCGCCGTGGCGTCACTGTGCTGGGCCCCCCAGCAGGCCTCGAAAGTGGCGACAGTTTCACAGATCGCAGCCCCCCAGGGATGGCGAGGTCTAATTTGGGTCCGCCCGTGGCGTCACTGTGCTGGGCCCCCCAGCAGGCCTCGAAAGTGGCGACAGTTTCACAGATCGCAGCCCCCCAGGGATGGCGAGGTCTAATTTGGGTCCGCCCGTGGCGTCACTGTGCTGGGCCCCCCAGCAGGCCTCGAAAGTGGCGACAGTTTCACAGATCGCAGCCCCCCAGGGATGGCGAGGTCTCATTTGAATCCGCCCGTGGCGTCACTGTGCTGGGCCCCCCAGCAGGCCTCGAAAGTGGCGACAGTTTCACAGATCGCAGCCCCCCAGGGATGGCGAGGTCTAATTTGGGTCCGCCGTGGCGTCACTGTGCTGGGCCCCCCAGCAGGCCTCGAAAGTGGCGACAGTTTCACAGATCGCAGCCCCCCAGGGATGGCGAGGTCTAATTTGGGTCCCCGTGGCGTCACTGTGCTGGGCCCCCCAGCAGGCCTCGAAAGTGGCGACAGTTTCACAGATCGCAGCCCCCCAGGGATGGCGAGGTCTAATCTTTTCACTCCGCTGGTGGCGACAGTTTCACAGATCGTGGCTGGCGTCCACTGTGCTGGGCCCCCCAGCAGGCCTCGAAAGTGGCGACAGTTTCACAGATCGCAGCCCCCCAGGGATGGCGAGGTCTAATTTGGTCCGCGCGTGGCGTCACTGTGCTGGGCCCCCAGCAGGCCATCGAAAGTGGCGAAGTTTCACAGATCGCAGCCCCCCAGGGATGGCGAGGTCTAATTGGGTCGCCCGTGGCCGTCACTGTGCTGGGCCCCCCAGCAGGCCTCGAAAGTGGCGACAGTTTCACAGATCGCAGCCCCCCAGGGATGGCGAGGTCTAATTTGAATCCGCCGTGTGGCGTCACTGTGCTGGGCCCCCCAGCAGGCCTCGAAAGTGGCGACAGTTTCACAGATCGCAGCCCCCCAGGGATGGCGAGGTCTAAATCCGCCGTGAGTACCCACTGTGCTGGGCCCCCCAGCAGCCTCGAAAGTGGCGACAGTTTCACAGATCGCAGCCCCCCAGGGATGGCGACTGTGAGTCTGCGGTGAGCCCACTGTGCTGGGCCCCCCAGCAAGCCTCGAAAGTGGCGACAGTTTCACAGATCGCAGCCCCCCGCAAGCAAGACAGGAGGAGGCAAGAGGGAGACGGGACGGGAAGGAGGAAGTGGAGACCACACTGCTCTATTCAAAACGAATACCCAACCAAGGAGGGTTGGGAAAAATATGATCCCCCCCCCCGAAAGTAAAAATACTATCCCCCCCCCGAAAGTTGCACGAAGTGTACTTCGGAAAACGCCAGCCCGTCGGTTTTGGCAGTGTTCGTGTAAGACGGCGGCCAGCTGGGGGAGGAGGAGGCGGAGGATGGGGGAGGCGGAGGGGGAGGAGGTGGAGGAGGAGGAGGAGGAGGCGGAGGAGAAGAGGGAGGAGGAGGAAGAGGAGGAGGAGGAGGAGGAGGAGGAGGGACGAGGGGGGGAAACGGAGTAGTAGGAGGATCACGAGGAGGAGGAGGAGGAGGAGGAGGAGGAGAGGAGAGGAAGAGGGAGAGAGGATGATGATGATGATGATGATGATGATGATGGATGATGATTGATTGAGGAAGAGGAGGAGATGATGATGATGATGAGAGAGGAGAGGAGGAGGAGGAGGAGGAGGAGGAGGAGGGAAAAAAGGAGGAGGAGAAAACCGAGGAGGAGGAGGAGGAACGGAACGGAAGGACCCGCGGGGGAGTACGATGATGATGATGATGATGATGCTGATGATGATGATGATGATGATGATGATGATGATGATGATGATGATGATGATGATGATGATGATGATGATGATGATGGTGATGATGATGATGATGATGATGATGATGACGATGATGACTATGAGGAGGATGAGGAGACCGAGGAAGAGGAGGAGGCAAAAGGAAGAAGAGGAGGAGGGAGAGGGGCGGGAATAAATGGACGCGAAAGGGAGGGCGATGGCTCCGGGAGCTGGGCGGCCAAAGGGGGGAAGGGGGGGGGGGCTTCAAGCCCCCCCCCCCTTTTGCACCAAGGGAGGGAGGGGGGGGGGTTCCAAAGCCCCCCCCTTTCAAAGGGGGGGGGTGGCTCACCCCAGCTCCATTAAAAGGAGGGAGGGGGGGGGGAGCTTGGAAGCCCCCCCCCCTTTCCGGCCACGAAAAGGGAGGGGGGGGGGGTAGCTTCCGAAGCCCCCCCCTTTCAAAGGGGGGGGGGGGCTCACCCCGGCTCAATTAAGGAAGGGAGGGGGGGGTAGCTAGGAAGCCCCCCCCCCCTTTCCGAACCACGAAAAGGAGGGGAGAGGGGGGGGGGGGCTTCCGAAGCCCCCCCCCCCTTTAGCAAGGAAGGGGGAGGGGGGTAGCTTCAAGCTGGGGCCCCCCTTTTAATCTATCGGGCCCCACGCGCGCGCTCTATCGAAGCTCCGAAGACCCCACCCAAAGCAGGGGAACCAACATTTGATGCCCAGTTTCTTCGCTAAGACGTGGGGAACCAAAATTTGATATTCAATCCTCCGACTACGACCGACTCCAGCAGAAACCAACAAAAAAAAAAACGGACTCTAACAACATGTGTGGTACTATGGTGGCACGACTAGGTGGCCGCAGCTGAAGGCTCAGTCGCCCTCTGTTATTGTTTGCCTCTCTCTTATTGTGCAATGACGGAGCCCCCGCATTCTAGTGAGATCCTACCTGCGTACTTGGCGCACTGCGATGTTCGGCATGCCAGCCCAATGGGTCGCCTTATGATGGGAAACGAGCGTCTGCGATCGACAATAAGAGTACTCCAGACTCTGATCCCGCCGCTGCGTGCCATCTTAAATGAGCTGATGAGGCACAAGGGCTTGATCGATATGCAGTTGGCTCGGGTAAGCATGCCATGCGAAATGGATTTTGAGAAAATGCTTGAGCGCCAGGAAGTCATTCGGCAGTTGCAAACGCAAAGCACCATTATGGACACAGCTCTGATGGGAATACAGTATGCTCGTCGGCAGCTGATGTATGAACATGAAGTCCTGATCTCTCCGTTCCCTGACCAGATCAATTTCACACAGGAACTGCGAGTGGACGGATCGGCTAGCACGCGCGACGGAGAGTGAGCGCCAGAGGGTTTTCCTTTGCTTGCCAGCCGCTCTGGATTGCTAGGAAAGAAATCCCACTAACCA